AAACATTTTGGTGAATTTTCATGTTCGATTGTAATATAGACCCCAGAGCAGGTGTAATATCGTTCAATACACCCCTTAGAGCTAGGCACAAAAGCTTTCGAACCCCTCACTTCAGGGTACAGAAACATTTGTGCCTAGCGAGGGGGGTTGTATTCAACAATATTACCCCTGCTCTTCAGTCTATATTTCTTAATTATACCATTATTTACCTTGTTTGACATCCTGCAAACATGCCAGTGTCTATATAGTAGGGGCATACAAGGGTGGTGTTGATGTAGTCATGGCCAGCAAAGTGGAGTTCAAGGTCAAGGCACTCAGTGAGGCCAACACTAGCAAACTTAGAGGCACAGTAGTCTGATAAACCATTGACACCTGGAGAAAAATATTATAGTGTGTAGCGTAACTAATATGAATGTTTCAGAGATTAGGCGATCAGCCTGGGGGGTTGGTCGGTACCAAATCAGGGGAATAATGGCCATGGTGATTTTTGGGAAGGTCTAGACCCCTAGAGTAAGAAAATATGTGATAGCATTGCAGAAGTGGTAGCTTAATAGGTGGTATCACCCATTTTTCAAAATGGCCGCTGGTGCACTTGCTACCCAATAAAAGAAGTTATATTTAAGCATACTGAGAGGCAAAATCAGTGATTTTAGGGTCTAATTTGGGGTTTTAGGGGTCAATGATTTGAGTTTTGCCTAAATCCAAGTCATCGAAACATTAATTCATATGGAAATCCAAGATGGCCGCCAAATTTGGTTCAAAAACAAATATGTACTAATGATACAAGCTCAAAAACGTTTCAACATGATTTTGAAGAGTTTTAGAAGAGGTTTTAGAGTATAAAGATTTTATAAATGTCTTAAGCTATGTCATCAAAGGATTACCTTATATTGAAATCCAAGATGGCCGCAAAATAGGTGCCAAAAAGAATATGTTATTACAGTATTGATATATATGCAAGCTCAAGGAACAGATGAAAAGCAATTTTGTAGACAATGAAAGGGTTTAGGGGTCAAGGATTTCATTTATGCCTCATTTAAGTCTAAGTCAGCAAATAATTGCTTTATATGGAAATCCAAGATGGCCACCAAAATGAAAATGTAGACCATGAAAGTGTTAGGGGATCAATGATTTTATGTCTTAGTCATCAAAGAATAACTTGATGTGGAAATCGAAGATGGCTGCCAAAATGAATATGTTACTATTAATATATGTTCAAAGTGATTTTGGAGACCATGTCTAGGTTTCAATGGTCGAGAACTTTAATTATGTCTAAAACTTAGTCATCAAATAATTATTTTATTTGGATATTCAGGATGGCAACCAAAATGGCTGCCAAAAGAATAAGTAATTTTGGAATACATTTATTTGAATATCCAAGATGGCCGTGATGGGATGTACCATCTCAATTGTACCCTTTTCATCGCAAACAGCAATGAACTGGATTGTGAAAGCAGAAGAGTCCAAGTAAAGAGGTCTCAAAGTGAATGATGACACAAAACATCCTTCTTGCCAAGCCTTTATGGACATCATCACTGTTATGATCTAGTCATTCCCTGGAGCACAACGGATTCTAAGCGGCCTCGAGATGATGGCCAATTGGGCATGTATTTAGTGCAATCCAGGTAATCTTTTCAGCTGAATGGTATACAAAGGCAGCTAATGTACAATTATTCATACTATCCATGATGAGAGAATTGAGTATCTAGGGAAATATTTTGATGAGTTTCTTAAAAATATCAACAGCATCTGTGGGAACTAGAAAAATGAATGAAAGCTATTGACCTTAGCCATGTAGGGAGTTGGTTCAAAGTCTCATGCTTTCAGTTTGGTGTTGTTCTATGACTTTTCCAACTATGTAACTTCCATTACAACAACAGAGGCTGAGGAGAAAGAGCAACATCAACAGAGTAAGAAGGGGTAACTTGCAAAGGTTACCTGTGAGTAGATAGGCAACTTTGGTTCCAATAATCTCAAACAAACACACACCCAAAAATGGTTATTAAGTATTTTAGTATTGTGTGACAATGGACCAAGTTAAATTTTGGTGTATCCCGAAAGCTCTAATTGACTCTAATTCCAAGAAAAAAGAAAAAGAGAAAAACAAAGAAAATGAAAAAAAACAAAGACAATACAAATGAGAAAACACAAATAAAACAAGAAAATTGAAAGGCAGCAAAGAAAACAGAAGAAAGAAAACAAAAACAAAGACAAAAATGAAAACAACAAAGAACACTGAAAAATATAGAGGCTATAACAGATAAAGAGAGAAATAAGCTAGAAAATAGGAAAAAACTTAACCAACAGCCAATTTGGCAGCGATTTTGGCAGCCATCTTTGATTTTCATCAAGACAACAATTTAACAATTAAAGTGGGAGTATCGATTGCCGAGTCGTATCCAATGATCCTGGGCCTATCGTAAAATGAAAGCTTTGAATATGTTGTTGCCTTTAAAAATGTATCTATTTTCCATGTATGCTACTAGAATTTGTGCACATACCTTATAACGATCGATAATGGCAAAGGAAAATCCTCTAATTCTTCGTCATAATTTCTCCTTCGACGTCCGCCATTTTTTATTAAACCGGAAGTTTTTCTCTGACGTCCGCGCAATGTTTTTTCACTTTTATTTCAGATTACGCTTCGGATTCAACATTTAATGCTTTCTAATATTAATTAAGTGTTTTCTATCAGAAAGATTTCATAAAAAGACTCACACTATCAGAGATTTTATCGATTCGAGCAGCCAGAAAAATTAGTTTCAATTTCACCCGCTAGGTGTTTCGACGTCGACTTGGAAAGAATTATCTATGAGTGGGACTCCTTGTATGGAATTGTAGATTCTAAACGATTTGCCAGTTCTACTGGTTGATGAATATTGCCATATGCATACATTTTTATAAAATAGGAATAAGGAAGAAGATGTTGGACCAAACTTCACCCCGATAGCTCAGAAAAGGTAAAATTTCTCCATTTTTCTCTCCACAGACCTTAGAGCCGCTTTAAAGTAAAAAGAAAAAATTTCAGTGGTAACTGAAATCCTCAATCCCTAGATCCTAGTTAACTAGTCAAAGATACCACAATCACTTGCCAACATCCTCTGTTAATGCTTATAGATATACATGTATGTACATGTTAATATTCATTTTGGCAGCCATTTTGGTGATCATTTTGGATTTAAGTATGAGGAAAGGTCAAGATGACTTTGTTAAAGTAAGGCTAAATTGAAACTATTTTCCCCTGAAACCTAGTTTCAGATATCTATTACGTACATTACTTTTCTAACTTTTCTATGTGCGTATAAATTCATTTTAGCAGCCATATGTTTGGCCATTTTGGCAGCCATTTCAAATTTCTATATAAAGGTATTCTGTAATCACTTAGATTTATCCATGGATGGAATCTGTATTAACCTCTAAAACCCTATCATGGTCTGCAAAAGCACTTTTTAACTGTTCTTTGAGTTTATATAAATAGTTTACATATTCATTTTGGCACTCATTTTGGTGGCCATCTTGGCATTTCATATGGAGGATTTCTATTATTACTTAAATTTAGACTCAAATAAAATCCTCAGCCTCTAAAACCTATTCATGGTCTCCAAAGTCACTTTTTAACCGTTCTTTGAGCTTTTTTAGCTTATATCAATAGTAACAAATTTGTTTTGAGACCCATTTTGGTGGCCATCTTGGATTTCCATGTAAAGCAATTTTTTGATGACTTAGATTTTGACATAAATGAAATCCTTGACCCCTAAAACCCAGAAATAGACTTCAGAATCACTGTTTTTGCCTCTCATTATACTAAGATATGATTTCTTTTTTTTTGGTAAAAAGCGCAATAGCAGCCACTTTGAAAAATGGGCGATAACACCCATAAGCTACCACTCCTGCAATGCTATCACATATTTTCTTACTCTGGAGGTATTTACCTTGCCAAAAATCATGATGAGCATTATTCCCCTAACTTGGTACCGATAAGCTAAATTTTGGGGTGAAGCTGATGGCCTAGATGTAGATCATTATTTAACTCTAAAGGCTGAGTGCAAGAGAAGAAAATCAAGATGGCAATTGAAAATTTTGATCAAATGTGCGTTACAAAGCCCCTGAATAAGATAAATTGAATAAATGCATTATACATATGCAAACTAATATTGCTACATCAGTATAACAAGGTATTAACATGATGCCGAAGTCCAAACACCAACCAGATGCTGAACATCATCCATAAAAAAGTTGAAGATGCCATGGTGGTGACATAAAAATATAATTGTAACGAAATAAAATAAATTCTAGTACTGTTCTGTTTATATGGGTGCCAGCATAAGTCAGTTTTTCTGTCAAAATGTAGATATGCTACCATCATAGCTTATTTTATGAGTCGGTATGATTACAATGAACGTTTCATTTTTTCAAAATTTTCATTTAATTTTCAATCATCCATAAAAATAAAATATATACCAATATATCCTGCAGAGCTGACAATGTTCACTATATGACCATGTTGGTTCTTAATCATGTCTGGCAGAAATGCCTTGGCTGCCTGAAACACAAACATTTTAGGTCTTAAAAGTATAGTTTCTATATAGCTGAATAAAAGCTGACAGAATAGATGTCACCCTTGCCATTCTTCATTTTGCTTGGATCAGGCTGCCAATAGCCCTCGACCGTCCATATCATAAACTTCCAATAAACACTTGATTTAATGATTAATGAAAAAATGTTGGTTGAATCTATCTGAAACTCAAATGGCATACTATTGAATGACCTTTATATAAACAAATCGTTTTAGATTCAATGCTGTACAGGATTTCATTCTTTATGTTTTCATGAACTATAGAATATGAACATGCAAATAGAACCAGCCAGCAATCACTTACCCAAACATGCGCAAATGTGTTCACCTCAAATGTCTTTACAATGTCCTTTTCAGTTGTGTCTATGAACTTCTTCCCACTCACGATGCCAGCATTGTTTATGAGCATACTGACACAACCCACCTCTCTCTTCACTGTCTCACTGCATACTGAGATTTCTGAATTATTACTGAAATGGAAATATTTGTGAAACTACTGGAATAAAATCCTTTTTCAGACCGCCGCCATATACCTGTAAATGTTGTCTCGGAATAGTTTCTATTATACAGGAGGCAGATCTGAAAATGAAAAATTTGAAACCTTCATCCTTGCAAAGTTCATTTTCTCCTTTTGAAAATGAGGGGAAAAAATAATAAATATACATTTTTGACCTTAGTCCCCCACAGATCTATCCTCAAATGTATATACTGGTACACTGTTCAAAACTTTGATAAAATTATCCAGCATGAATAAAGTTTCAACCTGTACAAAATGTTCTCAAGGATTATATCAATATATATCATCAATCGATATAGGACTGGTATCACCATCAGTGTGTCTTACGAGGAAATACAAGTACAACACAGAAAAAATAATTTGTTGATGTTGACTTGTTATGGATGGTCTGACTATACCAACATAGTAATTATGATCACATCTCATCTTGGAATGATGAACTTGTTTGTACCTTATATCACAAATATATGCATGTGCCTTTCCTCCATTCTCTGTAATAAGCCTTGCAGTTTCCTCATTGCCTTCTTTGTTGATGTCCCATATCACAATTGTAGCACCAAGTTTCGCAAGTCGCTGTGCTAGAAGGCGCCCTATACCACTGCCCCCACCTGGAACAAATATCATTTGTGATGCTTCTCTAGATATCAAAATTCTTGCACCTATACGCTAGAGCCTATACTACATGTAGCCCATGTACAGGTTACATGTGTACTTGAGACATGTATCAAGAGTTTGTTAAACAAGGGGTAGATGACAGACATCATGAGGGGAGATTCTGACCAATGAAATCAGGCAAGGTTACAACAACATTACAGTGTAACCTCGTATATCTTGAATCGATAATCTCTGCCTTTATTTTTGAAGCATGGCCTCAAAATAACACTACCACAGAAAATGACTATAATCTTTCTATAAAAATCACAAGAAAGTAAAAGTCATACATGTTAGACTAAAGTAAATGATCCCTTGTCGTCTATAAGTGCTTTCTAGTTGATGTTTGTTCATTGACTTCTATAGTATTTTACTCTTGACAAATTCCTGTGAACAGTGAACATGATGCTTTACATTGATTTGTATCAAGAGGTCACGAAAGTTTTAGCAGTCATACACACCTGAGATATGAAGGTTCTTATATGAGTACCTGTGCAAGATCGTCCATTCTTGATGAGCTTTGATAATTCTTCTTTATCGAGTCGCAGACTAGTCATGTGAGAAAACATCCTAAATGATATAGGGATTAATAATTCAAACCTCAATCTTGCTATTCTGGCCAGATAATACTGAATATGTATAAGATGATTGCAAAATTCATAAAATAGAAGTGGAGAACCTTATTCCATGAATGGACCAATCGAATCATGAGACACATGCGCAAGAAAATATGATAGGGGAATTTCACAGAGCTGTCAAGTGTCCCGCGATTGGCGGGATTATCCCGCGAATTTGATCAAAATTAGGCTAATTCGCGTGTCCCGCATTGTCCCGCGAAGTCCCGCAAAATGTGGCTTTGACCTTCGCGAATTTCCGAAATTGTTGCAATCACCTATATTTTGATTATCTTATATAAGAAGCTAAGTTTTTGCACTTTTGAGGAGTAAAGTTTACCTAATTTTAAGTACCTAGCATGCTGTTGTTTGGTATCAAAATAAAGGGGAAGGGTTCAACTTTCATTTCAATTACGAAAATAGGGATGTAGGTCACAAATAGTTCCAACATTGGCCTTTTTACTACCCGTGTGGCCTTCATCTCAGAACTGAGCAAATGTTAGCAAACGCGAGTTACAATAAATGTACGCTGATATCTAGAAAGGGTTTGTATAAAAAACCGGGTACCGGGTAGTAAATCCTCCATGCTGGGTTCAAACTTGGTACCCGGTACCCGGTCAAAAAAACGGGTACCCAAAAAACGAAAAATACGAATATATAACATAATTAGATTATGAGAAAACGTGTAAGATTTGTTTTGAATTTGCAAAAATGTATGTAACATGATTCAAAATTGAGCTAGAAGCTTCAAATAAAAAGCATATTTTAAGGCACTTTTCTTCCTCTATCGTTATGGCCATATTTTCATTGGTTATGGGGGGGGTGCGATCGCACCATCGCACCCTCTCCTTTGTAAGACATAACAATTTACAATTCAGTGGACATTTTGTCATAAATTGGGATAACTTAAATTATGATTAATAATCAAAATCTTACACGTTGCATCATGCAAATTAAATCACGTCACCTCTCTGCTAAAGCAACGATAGCTATTTACAGATTTAAATCATAATCAAAACAATTCACGTACCAACATACGAACTATTGAAAATAGAGTAAGATTGATTTGTCTTGTTTTTCAAATCGTCTTACAATGTCATTGGCGTAGCCAGGAGGGGGTGCGATCGCACCCCCCCCCCTTCATTACCAATGGAAGAAGAGCCTTAAAATGCTTTTTATTTGAAGCTTCTAGCTCAATTTTGAAGGAAGTTACATACATTTTTGTAAATTCAAAACAAATCTTACACGTTTTCTAATGATCTAATTATATTGTGTATTCATATATTTCGTTTTTTGGTTTTTTTTCGACCGGGTACCAAGTTTGAACCCAGCATGGAGGATTTACTACCCGGTACCTGGTTTTTTATACAAACCCTATCTAGAAAATTAACCTCATTCCCTATAATTTGATGTAGATTAATCGAACCCCTATATCATGGGCTTTCAATTGAAAGCCCATGCCTACAGTATATGAATAGGTACATTTTAATATATAACATTATGGGGGTAAGCGTTTCATAGTTGGTCACGACGCCAGAAGTGCAAAGTATTGTTCCGAATTTTTGAATTTCGTGTTAGATTACGGTAATCACACCTGAAGCATGGTTTTTGTTTTTGATAAATTACAATAAAGTTTATTATTCCTATGCGTATTTTGTGAAATTGTGTTGACGTTTATTTAAGTTACAATGTAACGGTGCATTATATTTGATTAATCAGTATCTGAAAGTTTGATTTAAGTACTTCTACACGCTTTTACATTAGTCCCAATCACGCAAATCCCTTGAATGTCCCGGGACATCCTGCAAATTTAGGTGGATGTCCCACGAAATCCCGCAAATTTAGGGCACTTTGTCTAAAAAATCTGTCCCTCTATGAAGTTTTTGGTGGTACACCTGTTAACTGTCCCGCAATTAGGGTGTTTGTCCCTCAAATGGTTCCGCGAAATCCCGCGAATTTGATAAAAAAAGGATCTCCTATTAGCGCAATCACGCAAATCCCTTAAATGTCCCGCAAATTTAGTAGATGTCCCGCAAAATCCCGCGAATTTTGGGCACTGGGTCTAAAAAATCTGTCCCGCGAGAAAATCTTTAGGGGTTGACACTTGACAGTACTGATTTCACCTTCATAACCTAGTGCTGGGTGCCAGGATCGTCTTTAAAATTCTAAAAAATCATATTGGCATTTAGAATAAGCTATTGGCCAAGGAGGATTGGCCCCCAGAATGCAACATCGATATTTTTGCCATGGGCATGTCATGATAACAAAACTTGAACACAGCCGCCATTTATTTTGTTTACTTTAATATCTGAATAGTGAATTTTGGTCTTATTACACACAAAAAACTCCAAGACTCACAAGAAATGATCGAGGTTCTAATCTTTTTAACTGTTTATTTTGAGTTTACAACTTCAGAAAATAATGACACTTTGACGTTTTCATTGTCGGAAAATATAGTTTTGATCCTGGGAGCCAATCCTCCTTGCTTAGCCGAGTTCTGCTAACCTGTTATCAAAATAATCTCTCCCTTCACTGACTTTTGAGGTGGTGGGATGAAGAAGTGTACACTTGCCCAAAATAATGCTGAAAACACTTTAAAAAGTGTCATCAACAGTTCTAGCAATATATTCATCTTGCTTCTTGTTGGTGTACGCTAAACTTATAGAGTAGAAACAATATGTAAAAGAGCGAAAACAAAGTTCACATTTAAAAAAATTTCAGCATCCTTGACCTTTCAGAAGACGGCATTTGGTGAAACGAATATGACAAATTATGATTGAAAATTGACACGTTTATCTCGTTTTAATTTTATTTACTATAAGGTATTATCAAAGTTTACTGTAAAATTAATATTTTGATTTATTTTCATCAACAAATATGTTCAAAATGCTGGAAATTATTTGTTTCGTTCTTATCTAAGTTTGAGTTTTTACAAATACCCGGATGCACGACCTTTTCTAATCAGGCAATATGGCAGACAGGTACTTTACCGAATTATTCTGGCAATATCCATCCAATCTGCATCTTGTCTGATGTCGTTGGTTAAAAATTGACCATTCATTGTTTTCTTCAATCATTTATTGACAAGGATCACATATTATTTTCCCTCAGTATACTTCTACCAAGTCACAACACACCCATTATCGTTTCAACCCTTAGTCAAAAATTTAAATATTTTTATTTTTCCCCTTTTCAACCATCAGTTTGACATCATATGCTATGTAGGTTTCAAGTTTTGTTTATAAGTCATTAAGCATGGATACGCAGCACTATGCTGCATATTCATTTCACTCATATTGTTTGTATTAGAAGTAGGTCTCCTACATTTTATTGTTTTTCGAGTTCTGTTTTTATATGCTTGGCTGTTCAACATCACATCATGATGTCATCAAATAGATTCATGTTTTCTCATACTTCATGTCTTTATGTTTTTGTATTCCAGTGCAAAAAAATTGCCGCAGGTGCCAGAGTCTCTGCTCAAGAAGCGTAAGCAGAATGCCGAATCACGGGCAAAGAGAGCCAAGGCTGCTGTTGTAGCTAAGAAGGTACGGTTTAGAACGCTTTCTTTGAACTAGTTATTTGTTGGTTACCTTGTTGACAAGCTGGTCTTGAACTTAGCCATGAATCATGCTATGTTGTTTCACTTACAGTTGTGACCCAGAAACAGGAAATACTAAAAGTAACTTTTCCATACATCACCAGCATCAGTTGATCTTATTTGGGAATGTTGAGGTGTCTCTTTTCAGAAAAGAACTGTTATCAAGGAAAGGTACAGAGCCATATAATCATTGATGACACAATGGTCATTTCCTGACCCATTGTAAACTATTATAAATGAATACTGTGTTCTCCCTGACTGAAAAATGCGTGGCGCTCGCGCCACGCACATTGTGGCTGCGCCACGCTGATTTATTGCGCGCCACACATTTATTAACAGCGCCACGCATTAGACTTTGACAGAAAAATTTCCCAAAGTGAAAATTGAAATTGAAAAAAATCAAAGTTTTAATCACATCAAAATCTCAGCCCGTTTTGCTTGAAAACGATACAAAATGCTCTATGTAGATGTTTGATTTGCACAGAAATGAAACATGTTTTTTCTAGGTCAGGACTCACCCCCGATTTTGAAGAGTACACTGAACGAAAAAGAACATGTGTGCACATTTTCCCGGGAATTTCGGACTCAATAATTAGACTCCAGATTGAAAATCTGGAGTCTATTGTTTTTGCCTGTTTTCTTATTATTATTATTCTTTTTTCTTCCTCCTTACCAGATTTCTCGTCAACTATAACAGCTTACTTAATCCAACTTACATGGTTAACTTAAGACTGTATCCGGCTTTCTGGGAAATTAGGTCAAATTTTTATCTAGGTCAAAGGTCAAGAACTAGGTCAAATCCAGTACTTTGTCACTTTTTCCCATTATCTCGGTCGTCCTTCAATATTTTTGATCCTGGTTTTTTTCATTGTGTTCCTCATAAAAAAGTAGAAAACCTAGGGTCGATTTAGTTTTTTGGTATCTCAAACCGATTTCGAGATATCAGTGTCCGAAAACGAGGTCCAAAAAAAATTTCACCGAATCCAATGTCCAGGATATTAGTCTTATGGGAAATTTTCTCAGGATTCCGAATCTGAAAACCAAATTTCGATGTGACTTCCGGTTCAGAAGTTATGGCGTTTTGAAAATTCAAAAATCGTTAAATTTGGTGCCCCATGTTAATTCAATAGGAAAAAATATTTTTTTGAAGTGTAAAATACGAGATATGGACTAAGCACAACTAAACATAATGGAAGCCCATAAAAGAAAGGGACCACAAGACCTTCTTTTCATAAAAATTTGGACACCAAAATGCCTAGGTCAAAATCTAGGTCAAATTCAAAGTTTTTCCTTATTTTTGCGATTCTGACACTACAGATTAATTATATTCTTCGAAAATTTGTATACATGTAGCCAAGAGTGTGCTAATAGTGTAAGCCTTTTGCCGTCAGAAAGTATTTTGACCCACTTTTGAGATATGGTGTCCGAAAAGTAGGTCAAACTAAAAAGTTCTCCAAATTTAACGTATGAGTTATGAATTAAGGGTAGAATTTTCTCAGGAATCCAAATCTGCAATCCAAATTTCAATCCGACTTTTGGTTTGGAATTTATGTCGTTTTGAAAGCTCAAAAATCGCTAAATTTGGTGCCCCATGTTATGGCAATGGGAAAAAAGATTTTTTTGAAGTGTAAAATACGAGATAAAGACTGAAAACAGCTTCACATAATGAAAGCCTATAAAAGAAAGGGACCTCAAAAGCTAGCTAGCTTCACAATTTGGTCACCAAAATGCCTAGGTCAAAATCTAGGTCAAATTTATAGTTTTAACTTATTTTTGCGATTCTGACACTACACTTTAATTGTTTGCTTCAAAATTTTGTATACAGGTAGCAAAGAGTGTGCTAATAGTGTTAGCCTTTTGCCGTCAGAAAGTATTTTGACCCACTTTTGAGATATAGTGTCCGAAAAGTAGGTCAACATGAAAGTTTCTCCAAATTTAACGTATGAGTTATGAATTAAGGGTAGAATTTTCTCAGAAATCCGAATCTGCAAATCAAATTTCAATCCGACACCCGGTTTGGAAGTAATGGCGTTTTGAAAAATTAAAAAATTGGTATTTTGATATCCCATGTTATGTCAATTATCTTTGTCACTATTCGTCGTTATTCCTTTATCTTTTTTTCATCATGTAGCTTAAAGACAGTCCTTTCATTATTGTAACTGTCTTTTTTGATTACTCTTACCGATTTTGAGGAATGGCGTCCGGAAAGTAGGTCAACACAAAAAGTTTTCAAAATTTAATGTATGAGTTATGACACAAACGAAGAATTTTCTCAGAAATTCGAATATGCAAACCAAATTTCGACCCAAATTCTGGTTAGATAGTTATAGCTGTTTGAAGTCTCGAAAAGTCGATATTATGATATCCCCATGTTAAGCCAATGTAGACGAAGATAAGCTACTTAAGAGTTGTCTAAATGTCTGTATTCTAGATGACTCAGTTTATTCTGAATGGCTCAGCTAACAGTATTTTGGATGACTCAGCTTAAAAAAAGTTTTAAATCTGGAGTCTTAAATTGAACTTGTTCAATTTACATGTCTAGTTATAGTTGAATTATATTGAAGAAATATGTGGCCACATACTGAAAATTATTTTGTATATTGAACTTTATATTATATTATGGAAATAAATATTAAATTGAACATTGAATTAAAACAAACCTCTGAGCATTTATATTGCAACATGGCCTATTGTCATTAAAGTAGATGATTGTACAGTGCTAAATTTCATTTGTTTTGATCAAAACAAATGTTTAGCATATTTATAACAATTGGCTGTTGATTCAAATGATTGTGATTAAGTAAAGCCGCAAAGTGGCACCGATTTTTTTAAGCACGTTTTTGTAAACTTATCACCACCCTAATAATTTTGCCACCACCCATCAATTTTTATTCAAACTTTTTCACCACTCACTTTTGAAAAATTAGGGAGAACACTGGAATAGTGATACTCTGACGAAAGTGTTGAATCTCAATAATTTCCTCAAGCTAAAAGACTTGTTTTGCAGATTTCAAAACCCAATTGTCCTTGTTTTTTGGTAGAACAAGAGCACTTCCCTTTTGAAACAGAATAGTTTTTCAGCTTTACAGAATGATTGCAATACACATTCAATGTATCCAGTTTCTGTATCATTGCTGCATAGTCACAATGTATAATTAAAGGGTCGATTCGAAGGTTAAGATAACAGGCAGTGATTACAATAACCCAGATGCGAGTAGAAATAATCTTGATTTACGTCATTAAAAATTCAAAATTCAGTCAAACTAATATCATATTTGAAATCTACATGTAAAATTACATCTAGAAATGTGGTTTTAAAAAGTGTTTATCAACTTTTAAAATTAATCTTGATTTACGTCATTAAAAATTCAAAATTCAGTCAAACTAATATCATATTTGAAATCTACATGTAAAATTACATCTAGAAATGTGGTTTTAAAAAGTGTTTATCAACTTTTAAAAATTAATTTTCTTTGAAAATGTGACTTCTAGCTCGAGGAGATTCCCCATAGACCCCATGCTATAAAATCACAAAAAATGAAATATCTTTTCTTTTAGTGAACAGATAATATTTTGCTTTACTGGACATATTTTTTTTAGTATAAGTATCAGACGCATAAGGGTTATATGAAAATTGAGCGGCTTAAATTGATAATATTCAAGTTTAAGGGAACTTTCTCATATACCTGCCATGTTAATTGACCTGAATCAGCCACCTGGTGGTGAAACTGGTACCTACCTACTCGCATTTGGGTAATTCTGCATAATCCATAGTCAAATAAATCCAACCGTTGTATGCTGTTATTTATTGTTATTTTTCTTATTTGGATATTTCTTTCTTCTTTTTTCTTTCATACGATGGTCAAACACACTAGGTGGTTCTATATTGCGGGAAATGCTTACCTGGCCTGTCAACCCAACCAAATTCACACAAATGATAAATTAATTTAATCTTACATTAGGCACATAAAAGGCCTTGGTAATTGAAGAAATATAAGCATGCTGCTTGAATTTTAAAATTTTCTCATTTTTCATACCAAGGTCTTTTCCAGGTTAATCTGAACGTCTAGATGTAAAACTATATCATAACGAAATCTTAGTATTTGTTACACGAAGATTCAGATGGAAGAAACGCAGTGTCATTAAGAATGGAAGTAACAGGGAAAAGTTATTGTTTTAGAAATGAGAAAAGTGAGTAGTATGAAAGAACGGCTTTTGAATCTCTGTGTAATAAATAATTATGATTCCGTTTCGATGCATGTTTACATTTAGACTACCGCACACAACATCAGTGTGGGAAATAAGCACCGGACAACAGACAAATGTCGAGTCTGAAAAGAAATTTGTCCAGACTGTTTCAAACTGTGTGGACAAAATTGTCTAAATAGATTTTGCTGAGACATGAGACAATGAATTTTGTTTTACACATCAAATGAAAGAATATAAATTGGAATTCTTCTGAGGAAGAAGTTGTAGACAAATGAAGCAATGCAAAATATAAAATTCAATGGTTAAGAATCATTTTATACCCCCCCCCCCCCCTGTTTCCATGTATTTTTAGTTTACATTAACCAAGTACAAAAAAATGTCCAGTGTGTTATCAAAATTTCAAAATTTTGACCAGTCAAAAAAAAATTTGTCCGGAGTGTTTCAAAGTGACTGTCCAGGCACAAAAAATACTTATTTCCCAGACTGAACATTTAGCAACATGGTGGGCGATAATGAAAATATACTTCAATTGATTATATTTCGTCAATTATCAAGCGTTTTACATGTATAAGGTAAGATTTAACACTTTGATGTTGGAGCAAAATAATAAATTGATAATTTGTGTGACTTTGGTTGGCATGGATACCCAGACAGGCCAGGAAAGCGTTTCCCACAATTTTTTCCATATCATATCTACGACCGTATATGCCAAGAAAATGATAAAAAATAAATATCAAAATAAGAACAAGGAACATCGAAGAACAGCATCGAAGAACATACAAACATTTTAATACAGTAAACATCTGTATAAATAAAAACTGTTGGAATTTTATTGATAATATATTTATGAGTAAGGCAAAGTTTGGAATTTGTCTTTGTAATGACTATATTGGTTTTTCAAGACTGCACGTGCAAAGAGGGGCGAGATCTTCAAGCGTGCTGAGAAATATGTCAAGGAATACAGAATCAAGGAGCGTGATGAGATCAGACTGGCACGTGAAGCCCGTAAACACAACAACTTCTATGTCCCAGATGAGCCAAAACTTGCTTTTGTCATCAGGACTCGAGGGTATGTTTCATAAATATCTGTGATATTTGATTTGTATTTGATGAAAAATTACATCTTGTAATATATTAAACCAACATTACCTTTAAACATTATATTATCAGTATTGTTACGACTAATACAAGAAACAGCTTACTACTAGAGATTTAGAGATTTTTTTTGTTATGAACCTAATGTAGAGCTGGCATCAAATGTCGGAATGGTCGATTGTCAGTCGAATGCTCTCTGCGACACCCATGTCGACACAACGCCTCTTGATCGACAGTCAGAACTCACAACATAATAAGCTATTTCCCTATGAATTAAAATCTCTGTTACTATCCGCTGTATGGTGTATTTTAGTGAAGTTTTACCGCCTATATTTTCAAATTTTCTTTTTTGTTTTGATCGACTTCCTGCTCTCGAATTAGGTCTCGGGGCCTCTCGAGATATCCTCGAGATTTATTTTCAATGGCTGCCTGGAAATAACAACAGAAATCGTAGTTTTATGTCTATTTATTGCTTTTTCGTCAAAGTCTGATACTTGAACATGGTTTACCTGTAAGTTAAATATAAAACATACAACTGAGGATGACTATTGTGCATCGTATTGCTAATTACAAGCCTAGAAAATCTAAAATTCAGACAGATTTTCTTCAAAATTTTTTTCATTTTTCGAATATCATTGGACCCGACAATGTCAATATCGTCGTCAATCGAGAGCTCCGACATGTCGACATTAAAATCCAATTCGATGCCAGCTCTAACCTAATGTATTGTAAATTTTAAAATGTTCAATCAATCATTTGAATTTTTATTCCATTAATTTTCAGTGTGAATGGTATTCACCCCAAGCCCCGTAAAGTGATGCAATTGTTCCGTCTGCGTCAAATCAACAATGGTGTATTCATCAAGCTGAACAAGGCAACCATTAACATGCTCCGTTTGGCAGAACCTTACATTACATGGGGGTAAGTTTTTAATCTCCACAATAGCATATTTCAATTCATGGAGACCGCATGTCATATAATTGTATTTCCTTTAAACTTGTCTGAGCCAACACCTTTCTGAAAAAAAATTCTTTTCTTTTTCCATTGATTTAAATGTTAAGGTAACTTATAACTTAATCAAAAAATCAAAGATGGCCCAAACCAGGAAGCACATGGCATTTGAGTATAATCTGACCATCAAAATTAACTGTCTTTTGGTTGGATTTTCTCTCAATTTTTTAGTTCCACTTATCATTTATATAACCAGGCTCACTGTGGTAATGCAAATAGAAGCAGCAAACATTTTGGAATGGGAATTTGAGTCCTCTGAAAATGTGACAGAAAAATTGACAAAAAGAGTAGCACGGCAAAGGTCCCTGAACATTTTTTTCTAATTTCTCTGAAACATCCCTTTAATATAGCCCAAAATGGAAGGAGCTTTAGAATTTTGAAATCTCTCATACAAATTAAAAAAAATAGAAAAAAACAATTTGAGAAGTGTACTTTTTTCCTTATTTTGATCCCAATTTTTTTATCGGGTAATTTTTCAAATTTCCTTTGCTCCTTCGTTTTTGATATATGTTTGAAGTATATTTTCTGAAATGTTCAGATATTTTGAATCAGCGGTTTTTCATGGGCTACTCCTAGAAAAAAATCTTCTGAAATTCTTAAAACGGCACTTTTTTTTCTCAAACTAAAGTTTTTTGTTGTTTTTTGATGTCTTTGTAATGATTACAGTGCCAGGCATATGTGAAATAATAAAAACGACTTCTCAGGAAGAGTTTGAAAATTTCAAGATTGTCCCTCTAAGTAACATCTGTCCTTGGGAAGAAGCAGTAGTGTTTGAATGCAAAATAGAAAATTGAAATTTACCTGTCCACAAGGAACATGAATTAATTAAAAGCATTTTCGATTCAAAACAAATGTTTGACTTCATTATTTCAATCAATTTATTCACTGTTAATTTGAATAAAATTAAAAAACGTTGCAGGGGGAAATCAGAATGAATGTATAAATATTTGGTAGTCATACGCATATACCATATCCAGCTTTCATTTTAGAGATTTTGAACTTAAGCCCACTACTTTTTGATTACAAGGTACCCCAATCTCAAGAGCATCAAAGAATTGATCTACAAGAGAGGATATGGAAAGATTGAAGGCAGGCGTGTAGCACTCACAGACAATGCAGTCATTGAGAAAAAATTAGGTATGTTTTGTAAATGTTTTGATGCCCCGGGTGCCTTGTTTCCATTTACTATGGCAGCCATTACTTATCTAATATTTTTGTCATACTTGATATTTTTTGCTGGAATAATTAAACATTCTATGCTGCACATTCTGTGAAAATTTCGTTAGAATGTGTTGAAAAATAAAGAAATTAGAGAGATATTATGAGAACTTTATGGTCACCCCTCGTATAACCTGGACTAAGACACAATGTAATACTAAATAGCTACCAGAAGTCTAGTAGAAGTACCCTCAATTTTATCTTTGGCAGCTTTCTTCAGGAGTAAATGTCAAATAAGCATTGAATATTTATTGATCCTTAGTGTCAGTGACTGAATCAAAATTGAATCAGTTAAGATGCCATGAGATTGACAGCGCAGAGGAATTACAGTTTCTAAATTGATATAGAGATAACATTTGTTTTGTCAAGCTTAATCCTCAGTCATTTATAGGTATCTGGCTACCCCTAATAATGAAACCTTTTAGTTAAAAACAAGTTCATGTCTTTATGTCTCCTTCCAGGCCGCTTTGGAATCATCTGTATTGAGGATTTGATCCATGAGGTTTTCACTGTTGGACCCAACTTCAAGCAGGCTGCCAACTTCCTATGGCACTTTAAGCTAAACACCCCAACTGGTGGCTGGAGGAAGAAGAACAACCACTTCAATGCTGGTGGTGACTTTGGATGCAGAGAGGACAAAATTAATGCCCTTCTTAGGCGTATGATCTAAGTTATATTGTATAGACACTCCTGCACAATAAAGATTATATGAAGAGGATATCAACATGTTAGTTAATTGCTAAAAAGTGGACGGAGTTTTCTATAATAGAGAGGTTAAGCTTGCACTGTTTTTCACAATGTGAATGGAAAGAAGTAAGCTTGTATCTGAAGTCAGTAAATGAATGCTTAGCTTCAGTGTTTCGAGTTCAGAACTGGAACACACTCTATATATTACACATTTTTATTTTTTGTGTTTTTTGCAAGCTTAACCTCCCTTATATTAGGAAGGATAAAAAAGAAGTGATTATTTTCTTCCAATTGATGGCATTAGAGATTGTGTGATAAATGTCTGTGTCCTTTCAATAAATTCTAATTTCCATCTCAATGTTGCATTCTTTGGGCCGGTATCAACATGACCCAGATATTACTCAGTGATCTCCCCAGCATTAAAGGAAGTGGGTGCAGCACCCACCTCAGATTTTGAAAATAGGCTTGCACCCACCTGAAAATCCATTTGTACCCACTTGAAAATAAAAAAATCATGAAACCTGGGCATATTTTGACCTAAATTATGAGAATGAGAATTTTGCACGTACGTGTACTTGAGAAAAAATCCTGTTGTTATCTCTGTTACTATTGTGTATTGTTGGTGTACTCTGAAAGAATTCTGAAAAATGGTTTCATTTCATACTTATTGTAGCTGTTCAGTTTTGCCAGTTGCACACTCCATGTCATGCCAAATGAATGGTTGAGATTTGTCCTAAAATGCATTTGATTATCTTTGAAGTCGGATTCCAATATCCCAATAAATGAAGTTTGATATTGATATTACGCTTGATTATGGTGGGAAAATGTTATAAGGCAGAATCAGATCTATAGGGGATGACAAAATGACAAGTAACATTGCCACATGTTCTGTACAACTGACCTACCAATCTATTCCTTCTATTTTCTGTCCCCAATACAATATCCAAAAGTTTTGCTATATTTTTTAAAGCTACTCAAGATTCAGGCGATGTGTAAACTGTACAGGGTCAAGGAAACAGGAATTTTTGTTAACTGCGATCTCTTGAGTATGACTTCATTTTACTCAAATGAAATGCATTTAAAAGAAAATTGCATTTATTCGCAACCACTCCAAAATAAAGAAGGCATTAACATGACAAAATGTCACCACCAAGTTGCTCACAATGTAATTAGTTCAATCTCAAGTCAGATTTGAATTTCTGAGAACTCGAGGTGATTTTGAAAATAAATTGGTCAATTTGAAGCAAGTTTTTGACCCTGAGGAGGTCATTGAAGGTGAAGTTTAAAGTCAGATTTGAACTTAGATGATTTGAAAAAAATTGGTCAATTTGAAGCAAGTTGAAAAAAGACCTTTTTGACCTCAAGAAGGTCATTTGAGAACTTGAAGATGATTTTGTCAATTGGTCAATTTGAAGCAAGTTGAAAAAAGACCTTTTTGACCTTTCTTTGACATTGAGAAGTTTACTGAAGGTCAAATCTTAAATCTAAAGTCAGATTTGAACTTGAAGATGATTTTGAAAAAAAAATTGGTCAATTTGAAGCAAGTTGAAAAAAGACCTTTTTGACCTTGAGAAGGTCAAATCCTTTTTGACCTCAAGGTCATTGAAATTGAAGGTCAAATCTACAGTCTTCAGATTTGAACTTTTGAGAACTTGTAGATGATTTTGAAAAAGAAATTGGTCAATGACATTGTTGAAAAAAGACCTCTTTGACCTTGAAAAGGTCAAATCTTAAATACAAAGTCAGATTTGAACTTCTGAAAACTTGTAGATGATTCGGAAAAAAAATTGAATATCTGTTACAGACGCCAACCGCCACCCACCAATTGCCAACCACCGCCACAAAAAAGGAGACCATAACAATATGCCACCACTTTATGGGTCGGTGGTGACATAAAATTGCAAAGAATGTTTTAAGAACAAGTAAAACTGGTATTTCATGTAATATCGATTTTATTGAAAATCATAAAGCTGACAATGCCATTTTAAGTGTACATATAAATATAATCTCAATCTACCTGACATGACAAAGTCCATTTTCTATAAATGTTAAAAACCAGCATTAAAGCAATGCTTTTTCAAGTACTCACCCTCCGATCAAAGGGCTTCAAAATCCAGAATACTTCTTTCTTTTAGGAGGATGTCAAGTACTGTACTCTAGGTATTTTTTGTGTGTATTACAATAAAAATGATAATAAAAAAGAGCTTAATTACATATTCAAATATAATCTCAATTCTAACAAAGTCCATTTTCTTTATAAGGGATAAAAACCAGCAATATTATTGGAAGTATACTTTCAAATATAATATCAATCTAAAGCAATGCTAATTACACATTCTTTAAGCTTAATCTACCTGAGAGACCATTTTCAATTTTAAAATTTATTGTCAAAAATTAAACAATGAAATCTCCAACAAATTATTTTTGATCAAGGCTAGCTAGTCGAATACCTTGTAGTGTCTCTCTCATTCAGTTGTGGTCTTTTTACTGCACAGTTATGACTAAACGTACATGTACGTACAACGTACATAAAATCATACATGTATGTGTATATATATATACTAGTACATGTAATAAGTATACTAAAATACAAATATTTCATCCCCTGTATTAATACATACAGCTGTATAAATTATAAATCCGCTAATTTAAAAATAAATATCTGAAGAATACATAGTTCAATTCTGAACATTCAAAACATACAAAAACATTCTTCTTCAATTCACAACCTTCATTAAATTATATGCGAGTATGTTACGTATCTTTGTGGATCCTTTATCTACTCTATTTAAGCTGAACTAAAACGCTACATAACAATAAAATATATGTACTAAAATACCAACACTAATAATAACTGTAATTTCATACTAAATGTATGAAGAACATGTTTAGCACTATTCAAATACATGTTCAACAAGATGTTATCTCTAACATTGAAGTAAGTGAATATGTCACTCTAATACTATAGTTATATTGGATTTTGAATATAGGTTTGTACCCACTTCAAATAAAAAACAATTTAACCAATTGTGACAATTAGAATTTTGCACCCATTTGCAGAAAAATACCTGTATTGATGACATACGAGGGGTGATCAGGAATTTTTGGACCGTTAACTCTATTTTGGCCATTTTTTATCCTTTCTTACTGATCTTTTCACATAATATAAACCAAATATATAGAATCACATCATGAAGATTTCATCGTTCTATGACATCATTATCCTATTATTTTTGTTACCATGGTAACTGGTGGCGCGACAAGGTGGAGCTCAGAAAAAATACCAAATGAAAAACAACAGTAATTTTATATGATGTTTGGACACTGTATTCATTGCTGAATATGTGACATACTGAATAGGTTGTGTTATTTCATTAAGTATATTCATTAATGTTCGTCTATTAGGAACTGTCATTATTCTTCTATCAATTCTAATCCTTCAAAGTAGTTACCAGTACTTTGTAAGCATTTGTTATACATTTTCACCCAGTCCTGAAAGATACAGACCGTCTTTGCCTACTTTGTAACATTGGTGTGTGAATTCCTGAATGATCTCATTACTGTCCTCAAAGTGGATACCTCATAATTTGGTCTTCACTGTTGGGAAAAGATAGAAATCATAACGAGCTAAGTCTGTGGAATACGTGGTGGTACACGGCCACAAACGGTGGAAACAATTACATTTTGTCGGCAAAGATGGTCTGTATCACGTCTTTCAGGAATGGGTGAAAAGGGATAACAAATGCTTACAAAATGCTGGTAACTACTTTGGACGATTAGAATTGATGGAAGAATAATGACAGTTACAACATTAATGGATATACTTAATGATATAATACAACCTATTTCAGTATGTTTGTAACATATTCAGCAATGAAAACAGTGTCAAAAAGTGGCATATAAAACTACTGTTGATTTTTCAAATTTGGTATTTTTCTGAGCTTCACCTTGTCGCTTCATCAGTTACCATGGTAACAAGAATAAAAAGATAATGATTTCACAGAAGAATGAAATCTTCATGGTGTGATCCTATATATTTGAGTTATATCGTGTGAAAAAATCACTAAGAAAGAATAAAAATGACAAAAATAGAGCCAACGGTCCAGAAATTCCTGATCACCCCTCGTATATGTCTACTATTTTCTAGCAAAGGACTCCCATAGTACAGCCTACAGTTCCAATTTCCCCAAGCACCTAGCAGGCAAACTTGTTTCTCCCATTTTGATGTTCATGGCATTCCTCTATGTTGCATCATCCAAAGGGACACAGATTGTAAATGTGTGGCTTAATATGATGAGTTTCTCCAAACAGTACTTGACTAAATCTTGGCAAACTCATCCAGAATCAGTCTTGAGGTAAAAGCAAGAACTAAGGCACTGATAACAGTAACAATGGATGAGTAGGTTAAAGGGTAGCCAAAGATCTGGAAAAATATGTAATCATTTATGTTAATGCAAATATTATCTTATGTTGGTATAGGAGGCCATAAAGCATTAGAGCTCTGTTGTAAATTTGAGCCTCACAATGTTTTCCTCGCGGCATTCTATGCATTAAAGGCCCCATGTAAAGTTCAAATGACTTTGCCCTATATGTTAATGCATTATAACTATAATACCCAACTTTACCCAACGTTATCAAAATGTGATCTGTGAAACATTTTCATTTAAAAGGTTTTTTGAAGGACTTTTCGTATGAAAAACCATGAATTTATTGAGAACTAGATTTTAAAGGTCACACATATCTTTTAATAAGCGATAATTCACACCAACGTACTGCATTCATCTTCACATGTTTTTTCATGTAAATAAAGTAAGAAAATTTGATAAACTAGATGATAGTAATTTTGCTGCCACTTTAATTACATGTAATAACAGAACTGTAAAATTTACAGGTAGAAAATTGTTGTTGTTGCCCCTTTAATGATACTTCAAGTTGGACATGTTCTTCATAATTTTGCACTAATTATGAGCAAATTGTCTTGGCATGGGGAATAATAATTATTGACTAGATGTTATAATTACAATTTTTACAACACACAATAGCACAATATTATTATTATTTTGATTTTATATGAGTCATACTATGATACTAGCTAATAGAGCTAATCAAAAGTAAATTGTGACTTAAATTTTCAGTAACCCAAGATTCCTTCGAGAAGGGCTAATACAGAAGTACCACCAAAATCCATAATACTTTATTGTCTAGCTGTGTATAGATTTGGTCCTGTCCTGCGTACAATCCAAAACAAGACACAGAGTGAACAATATTGTACCCTTTTTTTTCAAATCAATTTGTCAAGCGATTTGTCTGTAAATGAGCAGACAAGAAAATTGATATCCGAAAGCCTACAAGGCTGATGACAATATGATACCTATTTATGTATGATAAAAACCATTAACATTCTAAAAACAATCCCAGGAGTGTATCCAGGACTCAGGCCCATAGTCAGAGGGGAGGGGGGGGGGTCAGGTCCAGGGCCAGGGGCTCAAACAACCCTTGCCCCTTGGCCAAAAATTCTTTCAAAATCATACAATCAAGTGATTTTGGGCCACAATTGTCACCTTAACATTTTTGAAAAGTGATCCCCCTGTGGCAAAAGCTGGCCAATGTTCATAGGATCATACTCACAGTTATTGCAAGAGGTTGCTGTAGTAGATAAAAGAGCAAGTCCATCCTCTCATCTGTTGGACAAATACACTGCAATAACAGGTAAAGGAAGTGTCAGAGCATTTGAATCGTCACAAAGATTTTCTTGGGGTCATATTCACATTTCTGTTTTTTCCATTCTCTTCGATCAAGTTTATTTTTTATAACATCTATGTATAGTGCAGGTTTTAAGACATCATCTTCTGGGAATTAAGTGGATGGTGCCTGGAGAGTGGAGACTTGCATTTGGAGGGTGGTTTTCCAAGAAATGTAAATTGCTTTCAAATTTTATAAGAGATGTTGTGTATACAAATATACATGTATGAGAACATTTAAATCTTAATTGAAGCCGATGCACACGATTCCTAACTTTACTTCTCAACACTTTGTTCAATGGCATAAAATATAGTTTGAACTCCCATGCATTACCGAACACAAGTAAGATTTATTGTCAATCTCCTCATACTCTTGTTTAAATGCAGAAACATACATATGATTGTATATTATTTAAGTATATATGTAATTAACAATTTTCACTTACCCTAAGCATTCTTGACCCTTCCATGTTGACCTCAGCAAATGCTGAAGCAATTAATGGCAAGAGAAATAGTGGAATGATAAACTCAATGATGCCTAGTAGTGTGGCCTCATGGCTGATCCAGAATATAATGTAATTAATGGACCAGATCATAATGAACATTACCCAGCTGGATAACCATCTTTGAAGACTTAATGATGTGGCCCGCAACCTACTCTGGAATTGTAAAAATGAAAATAATGACGAAACAAGATTAATAGATAAGCATTACTTTCTTCATTGTTTACCTTTATTCTGTAACAGTAAAACCTTTGTAAGTGGATCACCTGCAATACATCTAAGGTATTTCAAAACATTGAAAAAATCCGTGCTAAGACCCATTTTCCTGTGGCCTGGCTCATATATGTATATATATATATATATACATGTCTGCAGATTTTAAATATACGAAAAGCTCTTACATTTATTTTCCAGTATCTAATCAGAATGTCTTCATTATTCAGGATCTGTGGTCCAGGGCTTGATTCTGTGTCAATGGACTGAGAGTCAGCAGTAGCAGTACTAGGAATCTACAAAAAAACATGAAGAAACATCTGAGGACATTTATTCTCATTTTTATTTACATGCAATACTGCAAATACAATACACACAATCTACACAAGTAGTTTATAGAAGATTGAATTGTCATGTACATGTATTTTATTTCAGCCTTTCATAGATACAATGCATTTTTCAATAAAATTCAAAACTATTTTGTCAATGATAGAAAGAAGGGATTTAAAAGACCAAACAAAAGACAACACAATACATAAAACAACAGTCAACATAGAAGGCTGGGTGGCACAAAGAACATAAACAATTATAAAAGAACATGCTTACTCTTAAGAAAATGCTTACTCTATTTGGACTACTGAATTCAACTTGAGTTGATTGAGCTCCAGGAGATGACCTTGGCTCATTACTCAAAGATTCACTCAGCCTTGACCTCTGACCTTGAGGTGAATTTGGGTCAATGTACAAGTTGTTCATTGAGGATAAAGACTGTGCCCCAGGTCTACTTGAAGCTTGTATTGTAACACCTCCTGAGCTGTGAGCTCTCTGCAGACATAAAAAAATATTTGAATGTACATATACAGTAAAATCTGTCTTAGTGAACACCTCTCTCTAGTGAACACATGTGACTAGTGAACACCTCTTCTCAGCATATAATCCACCGATTTCTGTATACAATTGCCTCTCTGTAGTGAACACCTGCCTATAGTGAACACATTTTTGTAGTTCCATGTTCACTGTACATGTACATAGGTTTTACTATAGTAAGAAGTCAAAATAAAAATAAATGTAACATTACCTTTATAAACAAACATGACAAACATACAATTGTAATGAACATAAATTAAAATTGCAATTTGTAAACAGACATTCATTGTTTTTGGGTTCATTGACAATTATTTACTATTGTCAACGATTAATTAGTCAGTTTGGAAATACAGTCATGAAAAAATAATGTACCTGTGCATGTGGATTACTGGTCTGAGAAACCTGCCGTTGCAAGGGCACTGTGGCTGGCAGAGAGCTGGCAATAGGGTTATGCCTTCCACTGGTGGCAAAATCACTGGTGGGTACACTGGTCAGTAGATCATCATCCCACAACCATTCTAAAAACACATTACATGCATACATTATCAGATCAAAAAAGTTGTCCTGATCCTTTCTCATGATTACCTCTTTTACAATAGAAATGCCTTTTTACTTTTATATAAGATGCAAAATGCAATAAAATTTGGAATCCAAATTATCCCAAAAATTTCACAACGACACCTCATATTTCTGATTAGTTTTTGTTAGCCAACACATACTATACAGTATACTTTGTATTGTGGAAAATATTAACAAGGCATTAACATGCAAAATGTCACCAACATTACAGACGCTGAATGCCAAACACCAACCACAAAATAACACCCACAAAAAAGCTGAAGACATATCGAAGACATATATGTCATCACTTCTGCAGGAGATATAACCTTCCATACCATCATCAGTGCTGTCTCCCTGGTCCATGTAGTTCATTGAACGTTGTTTGCGGAGAGTCTCAATAAGTTTTCCATCCTCCTCTAGCTCTTTGATAAATCGCCGAATTCCTAAAAATGTTATTAATATTGTACAATACAGTCTGTGTTAAATAGCACAGATATCATATAATATCAAATTAAGTACGGAGGCTAAAGGGTGATAGAAATTGATTATCAAACAGCACTCAATCAGATATCTTAAGCATTTTTAAAGAAAATAAAATTTGAGTTATAAGGGAAGGAAAACATTGGCATGCGTTTTGATCAAGCTCATTCCAACATTTAACAGTGACTCACTATCCCTTCTGCAGTTCTTCCTTTAATTCTTCTAATATTTTGAGGAAAGATGATCCATAATAATAATTAATATCTACATTTCTTTGTACTGTCAAAACAAACTAATTTGTATTCTAAAAAACAAAGTGCTAATGACCAGCTAACAACTCCCTTTAACAAGCAAACATTAATGTGTAGTTAACAACAATTTGATGAGTGGAGTTATTACCTATTGTATGGGTACGACATACGCTGAGTAACACTGTTGCTACCATAATGTTCCAAAGTAGTGCAAATATTGAAAAACCAACTCTGAACCCGTACAAGAAGTAGCAAACAATAGGGTTCAGGCTGACTTTCCCACAGAAGCTTTCATCCAGAATGTTCACATTTTTTGCATTGTTCATTATGATGAAAGTTGTGCTTAAAATCATCATCAGCATAGCGGAGCTCAACTTGAATATCGTTTTACTGTGCATTCTAACACTGTCTAGAAACTTTGAATTGCTGAACAAGACGTAAGACAAGTGGTTAGCATAGATCCCCAATGAACACCATATCATTCCAATGATGATGGACACAGTGCCAGTCAAAACTGTCGATTTTGTATACTCGCTCTTAATATCATAAAAGGTATACCAAATGAGTGTGATCCCATATCCAAAACCAAATGTTAATGTTAGAACAAACATGATTAATCCCAGCCATGGCTTGTCCAATTCTTGCAGTTTAATGCCCAGTGACTTAGCCAAAGGAATCCATATCCAACGAGGAATGCGACGCGACTGTCGGATTGTGTGCATTTGTTTTTCAGGGCTGATGTAATCCTGCTGGAACATTGGGGGCCTGTGGCCCACTTCAACAGAATCTCCATAGTAATTGTTGGAGATGGAGTCACGATCAAGTCTCCCTCGTGAGCCTCGCTGCTGTATCTGCCTGAAACAATATTATTGTTGTTAATAAGTGACAAACGCAGAATATCATCATGCTTCAATGATGATATAGGCAATTTGATTAAATGCCAATACATTAAATAGGACGGTGTCAACCTCAGTCATAAACCCTGACTCTGATTGTAGCTAGACTAACAAATGTCATTTCTGTGCAGTACGAATATGTTTTCCATATATTATTGCACAATAATTGTTAGATTTCTTATTTTTAGGTTCAACTGGTTGCTTTGCTTTGAAGTAGTGTGACATTTATCACAGTTGAAAAGCCCCACCCCCCAAGTTTTTATTATGCTTGAGTAATATTGAAACCTCAGTGAATTATCAAGCACTGTATGCAGACCTCGTTCTAAAGTCTCTCGTCAATCTCGTAGGTGATGGTGGAACTGTATTGAGAAACTGACCCTCAGTTTCAGAGTTGTTGATACTTGGATAACTAGGAAGTGGATCTTGGACATCACTGTTGTCAAAATTTTCAGACGGTTTCTGTGAACTTTTGCTACTTTTTGATGAAGATACTGGTCCTTTGTCAGGCGCATGCACTTCTACCCGAGCTACTACTTCCTTTGTCGGTGTAGTTTCCATTTTATAACTTTAAAATCACTCCTAAACTGCAATTAAAGAAACTATTTGACTCATTTGACATTTCCATTTTCATTGATGACATCTCGCGAGATTTGAGTTTCATTTTCGCTTACGCGAGACAGAGAGCAACTAAACGTCATTATTCGTTTTAGAAAATCCAAGGCCCGCGGCACTTGAAAGTCATGGTCCGCATGATATCGGGGTTAGGCCATAAGAAGTAGATCTTTTGTTTTGCATCCTGGCATAATCCAAATCATGCAAGGGAACAAGGAAAACAAACACAAACTCAAAAAAACAACTTGTTTGCTGGAAAATGTATACTTACATTTTATGGGCATAAAAAGGGATGACATACCAATTTGCAGTGATAACAAACACAAATATCTAATACATTTTATACAATATATGTAATAGCTATTATTCAAGGATAAAAATGAGAAAATACACAATGTATGCTAAAGTAGTCAATAACACTGTCAATCTTGACGCACATCAATCTCTGCCCTGATTGAATGAAATCCGATGGTAGGCTACTTCAGACCCTTGTGATTGCTATTTGGATGTGTTTGTTTTTTCTGATTCACTCAAAACCGGATCTAGACGGGGGCATGCCGGTATGGGGGTCAAAATTTTAACTGGAAATCAATATACAGGTAGATTGGTAATGGATTACTCGAGTCGAATATAGAGAAGGCTTTGGACCGAAGTAAGTAATGGATTGTAATGAAAACGCATTGCACATCTGAAATTAGATCCGGGAATTCAAACACGATGACCTAGGCTACAGTCATTTAATTAAATTATTCAATTATCATAATGGTTTGCCGAAAATACCGACCGACCATATATGTAGCTTTAAATTATTTATATAATTTGATTTTGAATACATGTCAATCGTAGGCAACGTTTTTTACCCATTTTGTAACAACTGAAAAATCAAACCATAATTACGTATTATTCTTAAAGACCGACAAAACTTTTGCCCGACAATGTCGGCACACCGGAATAGCCTAACAACGGTGAGTTTCTGAATTTATAGGCAGTTATAATGTCAGATAACAACATTTTCAATGTTGATGTCAATATTGCTAGAATATTAGCCCCTCTCCTTGCAGTTTAGACAAATTGTTTGGACTTTTTGGCGGAAAATATTGAGTTTGAAACCTGGGAAACCAATGCCTTGTTGTCTTGACATCGAAATAAATTTCGTTCGTGGGATTCAGTCAGTTTTAATGTACATGAAGCTTTAATATAATTCTGAAGGATATGACTTGGTATGTAAATTACTTGGTGCTATGTACCCTGAGAGCAATTCATTGCTGTGTGTCTTGTTCTATCATTTTTATTTTAAAAAGCAAAAACAATAGTATTCATGAAAACTAGATTTTTAAATAAACGACCTTATGGTCGTATATTTACGTTCTTGCGGTCGTACATTTACGACCTTACGGTCGTAAACATAACGACGAAACTATGTACCACTTGGCCAGCCATACACATTCACCAAAGACGTCTATCTCTGGGATCTCTGCACTCACCAATCATTGCTATTTATCCGATTCAAAGTAAATATGGTCACATCAAAACGATGATTGTTAGGCCTAATGCTTTTGATATCAACTACAGAGTGGTCCAAAAATCATTTCCTTAATTAGATCATTAATTAATTCTATGTAATAGATCTCAGATTACGTTCGTTATTTGAGGAGAGCACATTCAAATTAGAGATATATACCAGGAGATTATTTCCAGTTCTATTTTGTATTCATATTTAAAGAACAGAGTGTTGAGTAGTCATGGTAAATTATTCACTTATATATACTTATATTAATCCTTAGACTCCCTATAGCATCGAAAGACAAGATGCAAAATTACTTAAATTATTTTTGCTTTTCAGTGTTAGTTTTGTACCTACCTACATGTACATGCAGCTTGTAAGATGATTTTCATTCGTGATTACAGCACTGTAAGCACAGGGCATACATATACTAGTATATGCAAGGACAAAGTAACACGACCAACTGGCTGTAAAAGTGAAGTTGAACCAAAAATATACCACATGATTTTGGATGTTGACTATACTAGTGCTGTGGATTATGAATTTACCTATACTATTGAATAATGACTAAAGGGCAATTGGTAACCTGCCTAGATGTCAAAATATGGGTGTCCCCAGGGTTAGAAGGAGCATTACCACAAGCTTATTTGAAATTTTGAATAATTGGCTAAACACAAGGATATCATCATATTGATATATGATGATATCCCCCTGTTAAACAGTTAAATCAATGGACCCGAATAAAAAAATAAAAACAAAAATTGTGAAATTTGAAAGTTTGACCTACTTTCGAAAGTTCAAAGGCTAAGGTCAAAATTGTTCTTAACAACATTCTTTATCATAATCATATTCGCATTTTAGATTTCATAAATGATTATTTTGCACACAAGAATGTTTGATTTGCAGATATGCACTGACTTGACCTTTACAAGGTCACGGTTACCTCAATAACACTTAGGATGTACCTGCTGAACACTATGCCATAATTAACTCCTTACTAAATACAATATTACATGTCATAATGGTTATGAAAGCTCTGGGGACACTTTTATATACTTATAGTGACGGATCCTTTATCTTTCTGCTGTTGTAGAATTCAACTATAATGCAACTTACTCGAAAAGAAATCAAACATTGTGATTTACGAGACTTTTAAATTTACATTTCTATGTTTTTGTGACATTTATTTTTCATCTCAATTGTAATGATCTAGGAAACTTCATTTTCTTAAAAATGTGAGAGTACGCCTGTGCGTACATGTAGCTAAGCTACTGGGAATAAGTAGTACACCTTAGGATGACGAATACTTGTTATCGAGTAGGCCTACCACGCCCCGGGACCGCGCCTACCCCAGTGCCAGGACCATATCTACGTCTTAGTTAGGCGCATTACAATACAAGCTTACGTTTTATCGCATGGTTGGGGTTTCCGCTTTCGTGGATGATACAGTGTTACCTTTTGTGGAATATTTCCTGTATCACATGCTGAAAAGTGTTGTATTAAGTGTTGCACGGTACCCTGCGCGTTCAACTGTCATGCTTAATTTGGTACGTACCCTGTGATCACGCGAATTTTTGAACCACCCTGTACAATTAGCTAAATGTGAATGTTCACTTGGACTTACATAATCAATGGCGGGCTATGTACCATCAATGTCAATGTTCATTTGAACTTACAGAATAGATGACGGGCGATATACATTCAATGTCAATGTTCATTTGTACTTACAGAATAGATGACGGGCTATATACATTCAATGTAAATGTTCATTTGTATGTTCACCCATCATCTATTCTGTACTTACAGAATAGATGACGGGCTATATACATTCAATGTCAATGTTCATTTGTACTAACAGAATAGATGACGGGCTATATACATTCAATGTCAATGTTCATTTGTACTAACAGAATAGATGACGGGCTATATACATTCAATGTCAATGTTCATTTGTACTAACAGAATAGATGACGGGCTATATACATTCAATGTCAATGTTCATTTGTACTAACAGAATCGACGACGAGCTATATACATTCAATGTTAATGTTTGTTTAGACTAACAGAATCGATGACCACGGTGTTATAGCATGACGGTTACGACACCTCTGAAAACGAGATTAGACGACTACGATCACTGATTTATCCAATAAAATGGCCGCGATGGAACAGAAAACTAAGGTTGGTGCAGTATTTTCTTCCACTGTGTATCAATGAGAGGATTTTTGTAGACATCGCATTCGGTGATGCATTTAGTAATGCATGTTTTGAACGTATTCTTTACAAATTGATGCCCGGGGATAACATGAAATAAGCGAAAAACTGTTGAGTTTGAAATTCAAAACTACACAAAATTTAGTAATTAGTTTATTTTTGTCGTTAGGGATGGTCTACATTGCCTAACGACCTCGGGGTATATAGATGTAACCTACATACGATCATAAAAAGCCAATTGAGCATTGGAAACCACCTAATATGTTCTACTTAAGCCATAATATTGTATTTTTAATTTGCGGTTACGCCAAAAATTGATTGACGGTTACGCGAACCTCGTTCAAATATGTATACCAGATTTATTGTTATTAATTTTGTCATATTCATCAGTACTTGATGCTAATTCTTCTCTTGCCTCTCCATTGCTATCTTTTTGACTTAAATTGGTTTCATTAATAAAGCAAGACATAATTTTTTCCTTGCCCTATAGAGGCTCAAACAAAAGCGTCTCTTGCGAGTCCTGAAAACAAATATAAGCATTTCAATATTCCATTTCTTACCCATTATAACAATTACATGGAAATAGGCTATCAGAACTAGCAAACTTAACTTAATTGAAAGATGTACATGCACGTAACCGTCCGCTTAACATCTAATGTACGACTAATACAATGCGTTACCGTCCATAGAATTCATACGTAGTCGTCTAACAACATTGCGTTTGAAACCTTATTATTTACAATATGACCACGTTCCTGCTCTGGATTTGTCATTTTATGGCTTGTTTATACACAGTTTTCTTACTGTTAATAGTTTGAGTGGCTCTGAGGCACATATACTGAGAAATCATGAGAATGGACTAAAAAATATGAACTTGGACATCTCAGTCGGTAAGTTTACAGCTTATATTCCGCTTCTAGTAAACCACCTGGCAGATTTGACCCAGTCTTTATAACCATCCATATATAGGTCACCGAATGGAACTAGTTAAAAAGGAAATATTATCTGTGAATCTTGCCTACAGGCGAGAAAGAGGACATGCTGTCTTTTCCATCCGCCATTTTTTGTTATCGTTACCGCAAAATTTTGCAAATCGCCTTGTCGTAACCGTCATGCTATAACACCGTGATGACGGGCTTCATGTATATATTCAATGTCAACGTTCATTTGGACAAACAGAATTGATGCGTACTATCTATATTTGCACCTTAAAACTTTCCCCATCGCCTTACGAAATTCTTTAAGTCTTGTGGCATAAATCCAGGGATTCATTGCGCTATTCGACACTACCAATGTAGTCGTGTAATAACAGAATGATTTGTACCAAACAGGTTCTTCCTTCAATCGAATAAACGAGGTTATTGTCCAGGGTAGCCAACACAGTAAGAAAACACCAACCATTAATGCCATTGTTTTGGCAATTTTGTTTTCATTACGGTGCGCCACGGCCATGTTATTACTGAAGCTCGCCAACTCTGCATTGATCCTTGTCCTATGCTTGTGAGCAAGGATTGATACTACCGTATGTGAAATGACAGTCAAAAGCATCACGATAAAGATATGGACTTTAATTATGGCGAACATACCTTTTGAAGTAACTTGTTTTATACGGCAAGTGTCCTCAAACCCAGATCTATTAAAGAAGTACAACATACACAAAGATAGCATGTATATCCATACACATATGATGTATGCCCGAACCCTTCGACGGGTTACCAAAGTTCTGTAACGCAAAGGATGCATGATTGCGATATATCGATCTAAAGCAATTCCGGCCATACTAAACAAAGATGCGCCAAGGGAAACACTCTTTAAATACAGCCCCAATGCGCATAGCCACCTATCCTGCGTGTGTTCACCATACAAAAGTGGTACCAAGTACCGTCTGTGGATAGTTAGGGGGCATACAATGCCACCCATCAAGAGATCCGCTAAAGCTAAACTCATAAGAAAAATATTGTTAATTGTGCGCAAGTTCCTAAATGCCAATAGAGTGGCCAGTACGATACTATTTCCTCCAATTATAAGAAGTGCAACTATGGATTCAAACGCTGCACGCGCTATTAAGTCATACGTTGGTATTATAGGCTCCGGTCCGATTGTTGTTGCATTGATACTCTCTTCTTGGATGTTGGCAGCCATTCTTAATATATTATTGTCAATTTCTATTTGATATAGTTATTTATGTCATAACTAATAGTAGGTACTGTAATTACTAATGAACCGAAGTGGCCAATCACGATTGTGTTTAACTAGCTATACTTTTTTTCGATTGGCTTAGATTTCAGTAAAATAATATCAAATCCACAACTTACGATACCATTCATATGTATAACTTCAGAGACGTTAAGATGAATTCTAATGAGCAAATAACAACCAATAGTCACCTGAAAATCAATTTTTACTTCTAGACTTTTCTAGACCGGGAGATGTAAAGAGACACGTCATAAGATAACTAAGATGTGTAATAAGATGCTAATTATGTATATACAGGATGAGCCAATAAAAATGGGACATTCGCAAAGATTCTTATTAAATGAATATACGACCTAAATCCAATGTCATGAAGTTTAAATGTTTAACATGCTATACTGTAGTAAATACATATCTTCATGAGAACTATAGACCCATTTTAGCAAAGAAATCCAGATTTCTAATGACGTTGAATAATTCTAAGTATAATGCAAAGTGTCCCATTCTTATGGCCCACCTTGTATATTATTCGTATATAGATATTAATGATGCAAAGGTCTATGTGCAGTGTAACTGATTTTAGACAGTCATATCTTTCACCATGAGTACTTTCTGGGCATAAATACAGTGGTTTTTATAAAAACAATATGTTTTCTTTCAAGTGAAGTCCCCATGATGATAAAAATATCAATCGAACAATCGACAAATTATGAATAGAGACCCCATGTCAACAATTTTTTCAAACTGTTGAACCTATTTATTCAAAATATGATCTTCTTTTTCTGACTTTTATTGCATGAAAAGATTATTAAACAAGGGGTCTAAAACTTCTTCAAAAGTAGAATGGTATTGAAAGTTTAGTTTTGAAGATATCAAATTTCAATGACCAAACTTTTGCTGAAAACAATGGATAGCATGAGATGGGAAAATAACATGGGATATGTGGTTTTCAACTTTATCACATTTCAATACACATCCCCTTTTCAGAAGTTACTAATATAGTGTAGAAGAAACTTTTGATATGTTTAAATTGAGAAAAACAAAATCTTCTTTTTAGAAAATAAGCCTGACATTTTTAAAAAGTGACAGGGTGGGGTCATAATCCCCAAAATTTCAGTGTGTTGGATTGATATTTTACTATCATGGGGACTTCACTTGAAAGAAAACATATTGTTTTAATAAAAACCAAGTGTATTTATGCCAAGAAAGTACTCATGGTGAACGATATGACCGTCTAAAATCGCTAGCCATACCTTTCTAATGTTACTAATGATGATCATGTTACTAAAGCACGTGATCATTAGTGGCGAATACAGAATTAATTAATGGCAAGGTGCCTCGCATGCTCGAGTAACATATTCTGCAAATGTTTACAATACTCTAACTATGCAAGAAATACACATTTTCATGCTCCTTCGATGTTCCTTGGTAAGGTAGGATGATTTGTGGAAATTTTGGATTCTTGCAAATGTGTAACTGTTGCAAGGCTACTCCTTGAAACTTTCAAAAATTAGCCTCATTTTACGGTCTTCGTGCACCTCCAATTAATAGTTATGAAAAATGCGTTTAAATGTGAAGTTTCCTTTGACATATCTCTTTAGTCAGGAAATGTATTCACATATAAGGAAAAACAAATACAAAATCTTGTGACTTTATCAAAAATTATGGCTGCCATTTTTTGTACTTTTGATTAACTTAACCGCTACCTTAAGTCAGAATTAAAGCTGACTGACCAGTCGGTCAGTCGGTAAGCTAAATTTATAAACCTAATTAAATTAGACTTAATTTACAGACGGAATCCTTTAAATGGTATTACTTTTGAATAACTGGCATTATTGACTTTACAACATTGCACGTATTCATCTATTTTGATGTTTTTAATCTTAAACATGTGATTTTGTAGCTGTTCTTGACTAAAATACGAGGGTTGTCCCAAAACAAATGCACTATATGCTCTAACTTTATCAACAATTGATATTTTTCCATGAAAATTTTGATTATTCTACAAATTTTCATGTTGACTGATAAAACTAAATTGATGTTATAATAAAATTAAGTAGGTGAGTTTGGGTAGGGTGGGGCAGGTTATACAGTCACGTCAAAAGGAATAAAAATTGAAAATATGAAATAATTAATCAACAAATACCATTTTGTGTAGCTATAAGAAGTATGCTCAAAAATACATTTTAAGATACTAAATTACAATGAGCACATCCTAGATTTAATGGATGTATATTGCACAGTGTCCCATTCCACATTTTATCAAAATATTGCCATTCGCGTGTTATGTACTTTTGATGCCTGTCAGGTCAAACACTCTTGGCAATTTCTTCCACTGTGACTTGTGGAGTTTATGCCTCCCATATTTGGAGTTGTCATTCAGGGTCAAGTCATCTCTTTTAAATCTTTTCTGCCACCTCATAATTGCAGTTCTATCTGGTATATACTCCTTACACATTCTTCATGGAAGTTTTGCGTGGCTTTGAGTCCAAGTGAAGTGTGTAATTAGGCCACCAAATGCAAGGCCTTCTGTTATCAGGTGGCAGCCAATTCTGCAATTTCTTGACTGTGACTGTATTTGAATTTGTAACTATTGAACTGTGATATTATGACATCACAGTGCTAAATGTCATTATTTGTACTTGTTTAACATCATGCTGAATAAAAACAATTTCCCAAACATTTTGATCATTTAAAAGAAAGAAATATTTATAAAATACCACTTTTATTTGGATATTTTCATAATTAGATAAATTGGTACCAGCCCTGCCCACTCCTACCCCCATGTTGCTATAGCAACCATATTAAGACTTAAAGTAACTTTTTATCATTTCATCTAAAAATTAAAACCCTTGGAAATACTAAATATGGTTTAAGTGCCATATATAAAAATTTATTTTAGAAATATTGTGGATCAAAATGAAAAAAAAAAAAATAAAGAATAAAAACATATTCCACCCTTGGGATTTGAACTCAGATCTCTTGGAATAGAAGTCTGGATAAGCCCAAAGCTCTAACCACTACACCACAGTACCAGAGCTTTCTGAAAGAAGAAATTCTTTATGTATATAATTATGGACGAAAAAAGTCTTATTTACATGCTTAAATTTCTTAAAAATGATCAGCATTACTACTAATAATAACATTTTGCATGTCTGAGTAAGTATTTTGATGTACATTTAGGATAAATGTTGTTTTATTCAGTTTTCATTTTGGGTATGACTTCCTGTCAAAACAGTGTTAAAAATGCAGGGCTCAACAAAAAATTTCAATTAGAAAATGATATATATCCTTTGATCAGCTGTTTTTGGCACCTGAACTCATCCTACTAGAAAGGTAAGAGCATTTTCTTGAGATATATGGCTCGAAATCTCAAATTTCTCCTTCTAAGTCTTAGAAAGACACTTTAATATTAATTTTTGATGTTAAAAGTTCAGGATATAATAGATGAATTTTCAATTTTTCAAAACTTCAAAATTTCAGCAGAATTGAAGAATATTAATATAGTACATATTGGAGCATATAGTACATTACTTCTGGGACAACCCTCGTAAATATGCTAAAATCTAAATGACGTTTCGAAGGTCACTTAAGGTCAACGAAAGGCAAACCCTCAAATATAAGGTCAGCTTTGTTTCTTATACAAGTCACTGAATCCGAAAAGTTGATCAATTCAAGACAAATATACAAATGTGCAATGGGAAATGTATAGTGGCCGATTTTAATTCCCAGATGAGTGTGGACATGTAGCTATATATTTCTGAAAAATCTGTTTTTGAGCTACGGTAGATAGCACTACCTGAAGGGTTTCCATCGCATTACTACAGAAATATGGAAATAAACTCATCTACACTGTCGCCTGTACCCCTTTTAAACATGGTCACGTGGTAGGGTAGAGTGTAGTTACTCGATCATCAGTTCCGACCTTGCGAACTCCGTTCCTTCCGCACGAACCACGGTTATCAATACGCGAATATCGAATCTTAAATCGCCAACCCTCTCCCGAACATATTTCTCCACTCGGGAACGGAGAAGTCCCACATCGCGAATTACAGTTTTGTGGTTTGCCACAGTTTTGTGGTTCACGATGTGGGAACTCCGTTCGCGAGCGGAGCAAACAACCAAACAAGCTTTGAACAAAATGAGTAACAAGACTACACACATATCTTAAATCTTACATTTATCCTCATCAAAACATATATTAAAATATTGATTCAATCTACGATTGTCGTCCTTGTAATAGTCATTCAACAAGTTAGTAGTATTATGCGTGGCATATTGAAGATAAGCAGTACTGTCCATGACACATACACCAGGTACATGGCAAAATGCAGTAAACCCTTTTGTGCGTACTATAGGGTCGTGTTTTTGCTGCTCAAAGAAGGTATCGATGTGAAGAAATCGCTCTAGATTGCCTAGCTCCATCCATGGATTTTTGAGAAATGCATTCACACTGATTAAATGGATGTTGTCCCTTCCAAAGGCTGCACTCCATTTAGGCAAGAACTCCATATATGCACTGCGTTTTATACTATCCCTGTTAGTATGCACCTCTCCCGTGTCAGGATCTGTAAATATATGACATCAATATTTCGGGCCCTTTGAATTGATATTGTCTTTATATCAGAATCTAATGAGGAAGAAAATGATTAGGCAATATTTCACAAAACATCAAATGATAAAAAGGAAATGATTGGAGATATATATCCTAGCCAGTTTTAACTATGGTAAGCAATCATCAATATTAGGGCCCCAAGATTCCTTTAATATAAGTGCACGGATTACACACATCCAGTTCTACTATCACACTGCACTTACCAAAAAGCCACCCGTCCAATGTTAGGTTTATATGACGTTGTTCAGTTTGAATTAATTTCGAGTACTCCAAAAGAAGTCTTTCGACTGGGTTACGGAGCATAACTATCACTTTCAGATCTCTGTTCATTTCAAATAATCTTTTCGGAGCGAAAGGGTTATCGAAACATTCGACGCAGGAATCAAGCGTTATGGTTCCATTTCTTTTGTCAGGAATTATAGAGGTGTAGTATTGTTTTCCAAGCCAATAATAACTATCATGTCTGAAGAATGATGTGGGACCATTGGCGAGTACCAATTGTGGATGGTGAGAGAGGATCGACATGAATCCATTCGGAATGCATTCTTTTACTCCAACAATAAATGCATCTGTTGTCTTGTTGAGTGATCTTGAATCAATTAATTTATCCATATCGATGTATGGCGTCTTATCGTCCTTTGCATGAGTCATTTTACTAGCATCCATCTGATGACGTGCAGATTGCCTTTGCCGCAGGTCATTCATTTCGAGCTGAGGGCCACTCAGTCCATATATTGTCACGCTACGTATTGTCACATAGACTAAAATTGAGACATTCAAAAACACATTCAGTAACAAGAATTCAGGTGACTTCAATATTCTCCACAAATAGTTCAAATAGACGATTGTCCATTTCATGATCAACGACAAATTGGCTGTTTGTCAAGATGGCGACTTGGTCCATTTCGAAAAGGTTCGCTCAAATCTCATTTTTATATCTCCATGTATTGCTCCTTTTAATAGACCTCAGACATTGGTAAAGCAATAAACTGAAACTCTCGGTATATGTATAGTTTGAGCTTTGACCTGCTACTATCTACGAACAAATCAATCATCATGTAAACCTACAACCATTAACGTTGACATTTTAGACGTTCGAATGTTATTTTAGATTTATGCAATGGCTTCTGTATGAGTAAAATGTCCCCTGGTGTTATAGTCCTGGATTGAGATAATGGAACTTGCATGGTGGGGGAGGGGATAGTATGGACCGAACTAGAGCTACGGCACATGTTATTAAATAACATGTGGTTTTGAATCATACACGCATGTGAGAAATATATGATAACACATCTAGTACTGTGACCTTTTGGGAAGCTCAAAACAATGAATAGCATGTTTCCACTATGGAAAAATAACATCAGACATGTTGTTTTCATCTTTATCACATTCCAATGCTGTTTCGACTTTCAGATATTATTGTCATAGTCCAGGAGAAACTCTTAAAATCGTTAAATAGAAAAGGTAGATCCTCTTCTCAGATAAATTATAATAAACATCTAAATTATTGTATTGTATTTATTGGATTTTGTTGAAGCAGAGAAAGTTGTGCTATGATATGCTATGCCAAAAGGTATTTGCCAAAGATTTGTTATTTCCAGTGCATCAGAATCTGCAGGAGAACTGACATCTTGTGCAATTATATCAAATCATATCATATCATATGTTATTATAATTTGGCATGCACTTCATATGAGTGTCCTTATAGTTGTTTTTTCTTTGCGTCGTCTTTTGGACTTTCAATGGTGGAATTTGATAGTCTTTCCACTTCCACGAGACACGGGGCTGGCCATGGCACTACTGTTGTATTGTTTTTTGTGATTATAGGCGATAAACAAGTAGGGGACATATCTCCTGGCGAATCTATAGCACGTTGAAACATTCTTTCAAATCCTACTTCTTTAGAGATTGTGTCCAAATCGTTTAAACATTTGGCACAAGCTAATCTTTCGTCATGATCCCTCTTGCGTATTTTAACATTCCCTATTTTGCGGAGTACCTTTTCTAGTCTACCGGATGGGTCATCTTCATCATTTTCCAATACATTGCCCGAAACAGCCAAAGGGTCGACGATTGTTGTAATAACATCAGATGGAGTTGTAGCGGTCACTTCCGATTGAGAATTTTGCTTTTCAAAGTGCTCTATTTTAGTCAACGTGTATTTAGAGCACGCTGGTCCGAAATTCAAACGACCTTTACACAAAGGTTTTTGAGTTATCTGTGGAAGACTTCCCGGCCTCTTGGACATTGTCAAGTTACTAGTATCCAATCCAATTAACGATGTTGGTCTTTTGGCCTGTATTTTAGGCAAGGTCTTTATTGGTGGCAACGGTGTTGAAAAAATGTTATGAAATGTGTTCACCGAGTTCGCCATATCCTTTGCCATGTCCAGGCTAGTTAACTTCAAGTTTTGCTTTTGCAAATCCGGAAGAATATCGGAGTTTGATTTTATGTTGTCTTGAGAGTTGCAAGATGGACTGCCGCGTTGTAAGGTGCAGTGGCTAATTTTCTCAAAATCTGTTTGCTCACTTTTGAATAGTCTTCGTGACATGTTTTAAACTTCACACCAAGCACTCGTCCAACTGCATGTTGTATCACTTTACCAAATGACGGTGGTCACATCTCAACCATCGCTAAATCTAGCAACAAGTGTCGAAAATCAATATTGGCTTGTGTGTGTCAATCAAACCTCAAAAATAAGCAATTAAAATATGATATGAAAAATTGCTTGTTGTGTCTCTTGTATTTTAATGCTTTTCTGACATGTTATTTTAAAAAATTTACAAACGTTTTATATTCAAGACATGAATGTATTTTTCCATAAAATATTAAATTGTGTTCCTTTGATAGCTTTTTTAAGATTGATGCACTGTAGGTATCTTATATTTATTGTTCATGTTGTACTCTGACTAACAGACAAACGCATATGTACAAAACATGTCATCCCTTCAAAATCAATGTAGATGTACTTATCATGTAGTTATCACGCACTTATCACGTCATTTGTGTTATGTGTAAAACTATAATATCAGTTAAGTGTGACCGTCACCCTATAAAGTAGTAATTTCCGCTGCGCTGATCGGCTGTATGCAAATATTTCTAAGTGTAGTTCGATCAAACCAAAAACTAGAGACTGCACTTTCATTTAAAAATGTAGAAACTTTAAATTAAAATGACATTAAAACAGTACAAATTGAGTTAGAATAAAAAATATATATTCAAAGCTGCTCGATTCGATTTCCACCCATATGGAACATTTTCAAATAACCTGATAAAATATATCCAACAGCAGAGCCAGTTTCGTTCGATGCGTACCCTTCCTACCTTCCCTCCTAGAAGAAATGACGATGGGTTTTGGTATTTGAGAAATTGGAGAATCTCAATGTTAAACAAGGCATTAACATGACAAAATGTCACCACCTATTTGCTCACAATATTATTGTAGATAATTTTGGAAAATGGTCAATTTGAAGCAAGTTGAAAAAATACATTTTTTGACTCATTGACGGTGGAATCTCAAATCTAAAGTCGGCTTTGAACTTCTGAGAGCTTGTAGATGATTTTGAAAAATAGTCAATTTGTAGCAAGTTTGAAAAATATCTTTTTGACCTTGAGAATATAATTGAAGGTCAAATCTATAGTCAGATTTGAACTTCTAGATGATTTTGAAAAAAAATTGATCAATTTGAAGCAAGTTGAAAAAGACCTTTTTGACCTTGAGAAGGTCAATGAAGGTCAAATCTCAATTCTAAAGTCAGATTTAAACTTTTGAGACCTTGTAGATGAAAAATTGTCAATTTGAAGCAAGTTGAAAGACCTTTTTACCTTGAGAAGGTCAATGAAGCTCAGATCTTAAGTCAGATTTGAACTCCTGATAACTTTTAGATGATTTTGAAAAAAGACTTTGGTCGATTTGATTGAAAAAAAATTGGTCAATTTGGAGCACCTTTTTGACCTTTTTATGACCCTGAGAAGGTCAATGAAGGTCATATTTCAAATCTTAAGTCAGATTTGAACTTCTGATAACTTGTAGATGATTTTGATTTTGAAGTAAGTTGAAAAAGACATTTTTTGACCTTGAAAACTGAAGGTCAAATCTTGAATAAAAAGTCAGATTTGAACTTCTGAAAACTTTATAATATTGACTTTATTTCCAATAACTCCATATGTCCTAATTTTTCACTTTTCAGAGTCGTAACATCAAGTTGTTACTGAGTTACTGAGTTCATTTTTCAAATACACGAATTCGCGGAGATTTCTTCAACCTTAAAGACATATTACTCCCCCTCCATTCACCCCCCCCCCCCCCCTCCGTTCAATTTTTATTATTTTCGATCATTTTTATCTAATGTTTGGAAACTTATCTTTAAAAAACGGCAATGACATTAATTTTGTGATAAAAACGTCGCTTATATTCACGCCCGGTGATGGTACAAAATGGATGGAGGGGGGGGGGGGGGATTAGGCGATTTCTGCAAGAAAACTCAACAAATTTGGAAGATTTATTTTTTCAAGAAAAAATTTGCGACTGAATTGCCAAATGAATAGGCGCAGTGCATGGCAAAATATGTCAGGTCATCTAGTATTTTTTTAACTGATACCCTTCTAAGGTATGAGATCTATTAAAAAAGGCGCATCATCACCAACGTGCAAAAGTCAATGTTTTTGCTATAAATCGGGCAACAATGATCTACACGACCTGTAATAAATAGGTATAAGGGACGTTATTATCACAATACTAATGACATTGCTCACTTTTTAAAGTTAGTTTCCATGCGTTATACAAAATATAATCGAAATAAATTAATATTATATATTCTCATAGGGTCAAAATACTACTAAATTTATTTCGATTATTTTTCAGTATAACGCATGGAAACTAACTTTTTTATATCTATTTATTACAGGTCGTGTAGACCATTGTTGCCCGATTTATAGCAAAAACATTGACTTTTGCACGTTGGTGATGATGCGCCTTTTTTAATAGATCTCATATCTTTGAAGGTTATCAGTTCAAAAAAATACTAGATGACCTAACATATTTTGCCATGCACTGCGCCTATTCATTTGGCAATTCAGTTGTAAATTTTCTCTTGAAAAATTAAATCTTCCATATTTGTTGAGTTTTCTTGCAGAAATCGCCTAATCCCCCCCTCCATCCATTTTGTACGATCACCGGGCGTGATATTACAGGTCGTGTAGACACGTGTTGCTTGATTTATAGCAAAAACATTGACATTTGCATGTTGGTGACGCTGCGCCTTCTTTAATATAGATCTTTTATCTAAGAAGTCCATCAGTTCAAAGAAATTCCAAGGAGACCTAACACATTTCCCCGTGAACTGCGCCTATTCATTTAGCAATCCAATTGTAAACTTTCTCTTGAAAAAATAAATCTTCCAGATTTATTGATTTTCTAGCGAAAAAAATAGTTACTCCCCCTCCGTTCATTTCTTCCGATCACCGGGCGTGTATGTATAACATTGCATTCTCTTAGCTAGTTCCTGCCTCTGCACCAGTGCTCTGAATCAAACTTTTGTCATAATATTACTGTATTAATCAATAGGACTTTATTAGCACAGGGCCAAACGTACATCCAACATACAATTTTCAAAAACAGTAAAAATAGCAATTTTTCATCAAATGACATATAAAATGTTACTTTGATATAAGAATCCTGTGCTTCGGGATCTTTAAAACTGGCCCAGCAAAACATAAAAGAAAAGGCATTGTCATAATGAAAAGAATTACAGCTGTTTTTAAATATTTTTTAAATAAAGATTGCAGGGCAATCAATCAATATGTACTAAAAGTACCTACGAGAATATACATAAGAACAACAATTACTGCTGCCATCTTTATATCGACCTAAAACATATTGTTCATTTATTAGATTCTTATAAATTGTAACCTTAGAAAACAACATGTATTGCCCCCCAAAATATAATTAAAGAGAGAATCAGATATAGCGAGCAGGCTAAACAAAAAATTGTTTCAATTTTAGAATATTTTTGGCTCATGGCATTCCTTGTCATGTCTATTTTCTAAAAATCACAAAAGTGCATACTTTATTCCAGGAAAACTAAAGATTTTTACAATAATGTATTATTTTTCTATAAGAATGGTTACCATTCTTATTATTTAGGAGAATTTAAACATTTTTCACTCATTTTTGCACTTTGAATCCTTAATAACTTCACCAATTTATAATATTGTGAATATTTTGGGAGATATTGTATTTGATATTGTAAGGAATAGATTGGTAGGTCAATTATACATGTTGCTTGTAATTTTATCACCCCCTATAGATTAGATTCTGCCTTTAAGAAACATTATAAAAAATTGGAAATGTTCCCAAAAGCTTGCATACCAAATAATAGTCATGTCATTAATAAAGCAAGCCACGAGGAGGTTTCTTTAGAAATATATTAATAAGTCTTTATTATTAAACACCATTTGCTAAATGTAGCTGTTAGCGTGGCCCTGGCCTTTCGCTATTCATAATAGATCGAAAATCGATCAGATGTTGTTGTTTTTTTGTTATTTTATTTCCATGATTCAATTTCTATCAATTTCCATGTCTAGAAAAGTCAATGTAAACTCCAAAATAAAAAGAAATTCTTGAACTGAAAATTAGTAGCCTACTGTATATCGAGTGCTCGATTGTCAATATACGTCGTCTCACCAGACCCCCTGGCTATCTTATCTTAGATGTTACAAGCGACCTGAGAGATATTTTTCTAAGCCAAAAATATTGAGCCTTGGAAACTATTGTTGTTGTACAATCAACGTGTGGTGTTAAGCTTTCTTCACGAAGGGGCCACCCTCGCGTAACAACATGAGTATGCATGGGCGTAGCCACGCACGAGGCAGGAGAGGCAAATACCAACCAAATATTCACAGCAATATATTTTTTCAGACGTTTTATCATTACCGTTTTTGTAGAGATACAGGGTGTTAAAAAAACGCAACTCAAAGAAATCGCTATATCTTGGAAAATACTGATCTAATTATGTTCATATTTTCTGGACAGAAAGAGGAGACTGTGTATGTATAGCCCCTGTTGTTAGTTAGTTGTAAAACATGATGTCTTTGACACATGCTCAAAAGACAGTTGTACTAGCAAAATACGAAAAACGCTTAATGGAAAATCACTATATCTTGGAAAATACTAATCCAATTATGTTCATATTTTCTGGAAAGAAAGAGGAGACTGTGTATGTATAGCCCCTGTTGTTAGTTAGTTGTAAAACATGATGTCTTGGACACATGCTCAAAAGACAGTTGTACTAGCAAAATACGAAAAACGCAATGGAAAATCACTATATCTTGGAAAATAGTAATTCAATTATGTTCATTTTTCAGGAAAAGAAAGAAGAGACTGTGTATGTATAGCTCCTGTTGTCAGAAAGTTGTAAAACATGATACCTTGGACACATGCTCAAATGACAGTTGTTGTATTTTCATAGTACAACTGTCTTTTGAGCAGGTGTCCAAGGCATCATGTTTTACAACTAACCATTTACAGGAGCTATACATACACAGTCTCTTCTTCATTTCCTGAGAATATGAACATAATTGAACCAGTATTTTTCAAAATATAGCGATTTCTTTGGGTTGCGTTTTTTTGAACACCCTGTAAAAACGAAATACATTTACAGCTCCAGATGATTTATCGTTGTTATTTATCGATCGTATAACATGAGATCTAAGTCTCTTTTGGGTTCAAGACTCGTTTTGTTGACAAATTTTCCCAATTTTCACTGAGAGTGGATTAAATCATGTTTTGTCAAAAAATTGTTTGTACATATTCTGAAACAAATATAGGTCTAAATTGCGAATACATAGTCCAGCTAAAGAATCGACAACGGTATCTCAGCGGATTTAGATTCCAAGCAAAAATCGAAGGAGCAAAATATCTTATCGAAATCAATATTAGGCTATATAAGTTTCTTTGGATTAACATTTCATCCCAGATGTGACTGATCATGAGTGGCCCCCTT